TACCTGTCTAGTATCGACTACCTCGTCCATACTGGCTCCAGGAAGCAGTCGGTCGTTGCTGGAGGGGACGGGGTGCACGGTCTTGGCTCGAAGATTGGTTCCATGCACTTAGTGTGCAGCGGGCCAAGGTCCATCCACCGCAATGTGTGCGATTGATTCACAAATACAGCGTGCTTGTGACTGCCTGTGAAGGAGTTTCGGCCGGCTAGGTTGATGAAACTTGGCTTCAATCCACATGCCTCCTGGTCTTATTCCTTCGGGTTTACACTGGATATGGGGTGTGTGGATGGAGCTGTGGATGGTGCAGCGCAAGCCACCCATGGTCGCCTTTGTAGACGCAGGCTTCTTGTGGCTGGCCACAGTGACAGGCGCATCCGAAACCGGATGCCGCAAACCATGTGAGAAGATCCAGTGTAAATGGATCCATCGCAATGAAGCTGGATCCTACCGTGGTGCGATGGTTTGCGTGCTTCAGAGATCCGTTGAGCTATGCAGGGTGGTGCTTTTGCACCTTCAGAACCACCCATACCAGAGTGGTCCATGGTTAGAGGCCAGACAAACTCAGCCTCCTGGTCCTCCAGGTTGGGGGTTGAAATGATGGTGGCTCCTTGTTCCTTAACAAGAACTCCTTTTAGTACAGCGCCAAACCCGCTGTCTTGTGGTCAGGTTTTTGAACCAAAGGCTTTGGTTAAGAACCCTAATCGTTCTCCTGTCTAGGCCTGGGCAACCTGACAGGATCCTGCCCACGCAATACAATGTATTTTTCTGCATACAGTTTCTTGATGCTCTGACCACCGCAAAGGATAATCAACGGTGCCCGGTCTGCTGCATCGAGCAGGGTGGATAGGGGTTTGGATGCTACCGCTCAAGCCTTACCGTTTTCTTATTCCCCTTCTTACGCTTTTCACTTTTACTGTCCCATTCCAGCTTCACTTTTATCCCTATTGTTTTCAACCCCCAACTTCGTGGCCCTCCCCCACCTTGTTTTGACAGGCTTTTACCTTTTAGTTGCAAGCCCATATCCAAGCCAGTGGCCAGGTTCAGTTCATCGGCTTCCGTTTGAAGCTCTCGATGTTCGTTCAGCTTGGCCTGCCTCAATGTGCGCACATTGCTACAGATCGGTCAACAGGCAGTACTTGTCCGAACATTAGAGACCCATTCGATCGATATCTGCTGCTTATCGGAGACTCGCCTGCAAGACTCGAGCTCAGTTCTCACTTTGCGATCCCTTTCAGGTGACACCAGCAGCACTTTCTCATTGCGCTTATCCGGCGAAGATGCATCTTCGACCACCGGTCAAACCGGTGTTGGTATTACCTGAGTCCCCGGGCTGAAGCTTCTCTGGTTGACTGGATTCCAATCAGTAGCCGGTTGTGTGCGGTCCGATTGGCTGGATCGTTCAAAGCTTCGAAGCCGCACAGGACTAATAGGTATCTATTCATCATCGCTGCCTACGCGCCCACAAACTCTATCGATGATTCGGTAAAAGACGACTTCTATCGCCAACTGATCGAGCTCCTTCGCCACAGAAGAAGCACGGACACTGTTGTACTGGCGGGGGATCTGAACGCCCTAGTTGGTAAAGTACCCACAGATGAACTACATCTGGGAGGCCAACATGGTGTAGGCTCCCGTAATGATAACGGTGAGCGGTTACTTCATTTGTGTGAAGATGCTCACTTATTTCTTACGAGCACTAATTTCCGACACAGCACCCGCCGGAAGGTGACTTGGCGCTCATCAGCCTCGAATCAGCTATGGACGCAAATCGATCACATTGCAATCAGTTACCGCTGGAGAGCCTGCATCCAGAACTGTCGCTCGATTTGGAGCACATGTGTAGACACCGATCATGCACTTGTATGTGCTGACATGCGGATGTGTTTTGGCGCAATCCCACGACGATGCTGTGAGCGCATTGACACCAGTCAACTGGCGAAGCCAGCTGTTCTAAATGCGTATCGAAATACGCTGATATGCGGATGGAGTAAGTACTCGCTGGAGACAATTGACGGTCACCGGTCTCATGCTCACCAGATCTTGCTAGCAGCAGGAAAGTCCTTATGTGGTAATTCTAATCACCAACATGGACATTGTATCACTTCGCAGTCTCTGGAACTTATCGATGTTCACCGGCATTTTCCGGCTGAAAGCGAACACAATGAAACATGCAAAGAGCTCCGGGCAAAACTCCGTGATAGCCAGAAGAGAGACCGCGAATCCTGGTGGTCTCATCGTGCATCAGAGATGGAAATAGCCGCTGCTCTTGGTAATCATGGAAATTTATTCCGTCTGATACGGAAAACCAGCAGCAGGAGTCCTGGTCTTAGTGAAACTATACGCGACGAGAGTGGACAGCCTATCCACAACTTGTCAACAAGCTTGGAGCGTTGGGCTGAACACTTTGAAAGGCAATTTAATCGGTTGGAATTGTAAGATTTCTCGCCGGCACCTGATCGCCCTGTTCCGTGATCTGTCCCTTTGGATCCACCCTCTCGCTCAGAAGTCGAACATGAGATCGCACTGTTGTAGTTACATAAAAAAGCGAGACCAGATGATATTCCTCCAACCCTCTTCAAATGCGGCCGATCTGATCTTGTGGATAATTTATACGACTTACTAGTGCAACTGTGGGAGCAGAAAACTGTCCCAACCGACTAGAGCCGCTCCGTCATAGTCCCAATTTTCAAGAGAGGCTCAAGATCGGAATGCGGCAACCATAGAGGTATCCGTCTGATCTCCATCACCTCCAAATAGCTTGCCTCTGTCATCGTTCACAGACTGACTGCCACTGGTGAAAGCCATTTTCGGGAAGAGCAAACCGGGTTCCGTTGAGGTCATGGCTGCATTGACCACATCTTCACTTTGCGTCAATTGTTGGAGCACCGTCATATATATTGGCGGCCCACCGTTGTCGTGTTCCACTATATCAAAGGTGCATTCAATTCGGTGGATAGACGTACACTTTGGGACCGTGTACTCAGGAAAGGTTTACCTGAGAAATATGTAAATCTTATCCACTTATTTTACGCGCGTAGCTCAGGCAGAGTGAGGGCTTACGGCAAGATATCATCTCCTTGTAATATCTCCAGCGGTGTGACACAAGGATGCCCTGTGTCACCTTTCCTCTTCAATTTCGCTATTGACGAAGTCATAGAAATCGCGTTCACAGAACACGACTTAGAAGGTGTGGATCTGCCCCCAGGGGAAGGACTTCTTGAATTGGAGCATGCTGAGAATATTGCCGTAATCTGGGACAGCTTACAAACATGCCAAGAAGCGCTGGACGGATTAGCACTGGCTGTCCGTCACTTCGGGCTTTGCTTCGCACCCTCGAAGTGCAAAGCGTTCCTCCAAGATTGGCTAGGACCGCCTCCTACGCTGACCGTTGGTGGGGATCAGCTAGAAGTCGTTCCAAAATTCAACTACCTGGGAAGTTGTATCAGCGCCCGTGGGATTGAGGATGAGATCACGAACCGTGTAGCAAAAGCTCGGGGCGCTTTTGCTAACCTTCGTCACTTATGACGCCGGCGCGACATCACTCTTGCCCTGAATGGTAGAGTGTACAATGCAGCGGAACGTTCGATCCTACTGTACGGTTGTGAAACCTGGCCCCTTAGATCAGCGGACATAAAGCGGCTAGTTACGTTCGACCACCGGTGTCTTCGCAATTTACCTCACATCTGGTAGGAACACCGCGTGAGCAGCGAGTGTGTTCGATGCCTTGTTTACGGCACAGCAAAGGGACATGAACCGCTCAGCACCGTTATTACACGCACCAGGCTCCCATGACTCGGCCACGTGTTACGCATGCCAGACCACCGACTCCCGTGACGTGCATTGTTTGCGCGTGGGCGGTGTGGATGGAAGAAGAGGTGAGGTGGCCAAGCAATGACTTGGTCAAGAGGAATGAAGGCCCTCACTTCGGAGCTGGCCTCAGTTGGAGCTTTCCGGCTTCCTGGTTGGGGTCCGAAGGACGATGAACACGTTTGGCTAGATATACTTGCTGATAGGGCTAGGAGCCAACCTCAGTGGTGTTCGTACTGGGCGTCTTTGTCTCACTCCAGCCCTCTTAGCCTCCCTCTCCAACCACGATCTCACTAGTTAGCCTCTTTTAATTTTGCGTAGTAACTTATTTTTCTGCTGCATAGTAGCCGGCAGGTGGCTTACCGAAACGATGCCCATCCGTTATCGGTAGCTCAGCTGGCTTGCACCAGTCGCATTTTATTCCCTTTTTTCGGGTATTGCGACACAGTAGCTGAGGTGGTTCCGACCTCTAGCTAATGTGTATACTGATGATGATGATGAGTGTAAATGGATAATCATGGGGCAAAAATGAACGAAGAATCTCCTGCTGTAAGAGTGCGTCGATAAGTGTTTCCCTTTCACATTTAACATGGTGTTGATGCCGCATTAGGCGGTTGTAACTTTTATCTTTTACGTCAAAATTATCAAGCCACTGGCTAGAACTTCTAATTCTGCGGTTCAGTGCGGTTGTTGTCTTGGTTTTTTCCGTGGAGTTATACGCTATTTTTGAATCGATTTTCCTTTGGCAGTCATCTAGATTAACTAATGTGCTAGAATGTGCTGGCACTCTGGCCAATGTGCTCTGCTAAGCTGATATATATGGGGTAATAAAGGAGCAGAAATGAGATTTAAATGGTGCATATAGAAAGTACAGCAACTGAACTCGGTCAGACGGCCACTGTGTGTCCGGAGTTGCGCGGTCAACCGTTTTATCTTTGCAAGCATCACCAACGGTGTGCATTTCATCTAGCCCTTATGATGCAAGGACTTGCGGCCCCAGTCTTGTAGTCTAATGATACCGATAACTGGGTTCTACTTAGAATTATTCATAGAAGCTTGGGCGGGCTAAAAATGGGCCAATATTACAGCATACTCACATATCAATAAGGTATGACAATCTTAACTGAAGGCACCCGGCGAGAATTTACACAAAAATCTATACATCATATGCAACAGAAAGTTGTTTTACTTACACACGATTCCGACTGCATACGTAGCGCCAATGATTTGCAATCCATAGTTGTAAATGACCTAGTCTCACTTCAGATCCATCGACTAGACGAATCCTCTGCGCGGACGGATCTGTTTCAACAACATCTCCACGAACCCCCATGTTTGTGATGTTAAATCTTCCGGCGGCCAAGAGGCTATCAAAAACTATTTTCGCATCTAAGTGGACAAAAGATATGGAGTTGGTCATACAACGGAAAATATTCACAAAGTAGAATGCTTGGAAGTGCTCGAAATTATCCAATGACTTGTTAGCTTGTGAAGAGATAAACGGGTAATTTTTCCCAGTGGAGGAAGTGCAATCAACGCAAGAACCATTGGACTTTTTCGAACTTGGTTTATGGGATCCAGCGCACCTGATCATTTTCGGACTTGTTGGAAAAATAGACAGCTGAGCACATTGGCACCTGTATCATGAGTCTCTTTGTACCGCCCTTATAATCGAGATCTTATTCGTGATACATACTAGATATAAGGCATCATACTATACAATTGCTTTCCCTGCTTTTCTTTTTCTTTTGTTGCAACTGCAACTGTGTCGTATTTCGCACATTACTTGAGGCGTTTTTGATTTCTGGTTAAGGTGTGGTGATGATGATACCCTTATTCTGCTACCGTCGTCATCTAATTGTGCCTACATCGGAACAAACATTTGGTAGTTGCATATGCATGGTACCGATTTTTCGGCCAAATACCTGTTACACTTTCCCACCCAGGCATGCTCTGACTCAGGCTGTGTTATATCTCTTGAAATATTCTCCGTTACCGGACAAACACATGAGCACTGCGACCGCGTTTCACTGACACAGGTCCATCTGCATAAGCGCTGAGCGTGTTCGGATGCCATCCATACGTAAAGCAGACCGCTGACCGCTAATGGCAATGGTTCGCATGACACGGACTCTGTGGACACTATGTAAATGAACCTGTGAACAACGGACTGCTTGACATGTGGTGCTCTTTTCGTGGGAAAGGCTTGGTAACTGAACTGTATGACCAATTCTGGGTTACCGGCTGGACGGACTGGATGCCACTCATCGAGGGATAGCATTAGACATGGTTGATTTATGGCAGCTGAGTACAAAAGACTGCCTGATAAGATACAAGAGGAGAAGCGAACGACATTTGCAGTGTTTACTGCCTAAGAATAGTTGAGGATGTTGTCACCGAGTCAAGGTAGAAAGCAATGTATTGTGACGATGTTGGAAAGGGTCACACCGCGTCTCCGCTCATACATGACATAATAGGTGGTTTACCTGTATTTATGCTTTGCATATTTATTAAACGTTCTCTCCACCGTTTGGAGTTTCCAAGAAGCTAGTCTTCGCCACTTGAAAATAAAGGCTATGCTAATCGAAAAATGATGTACTACACAGAATGAACATAAAAGTAATACCATCCTTTGCAGTATAAGCATTCCTATGAACTATTGCAGCTAATTGCGATGCAACTCATGGATTATTCATTCCGAAACTGCGACCAACATGAGTGCTTAGATGGTCGAAGAAAAGTGAGGTGTTGGAAATAAAGGTCTATGAACGCAAGCGCCTTATAGTATCTGGGAACCCAGTATGACTGAAGAGCAACGCTATCGCTGCAACGCTATCGACATAATGGTTACGGTTCAACAATTTCAGAAGGGAACGAAAACAGGCGCTGATCTCGTTGTTCGTTGTTTTCACCAAAACATTCACTATGATGAACCGTGAGGTCGTCACGGATGGCCTAAGCTGAATAAGGTAAGGTAGTATTAGACATAACCCTGATCGGAGTTGAGCCGATAAACATGATGGACTAAATAAATATCTTCACAACAGTAGCTTGGTCAAGGTACAGATACGTAGAAAAGTCTCACATGATACTGATGTTGCCTCTATCAGGAAATGAGGCTGAGTCCCAGTTAATGCAAGTAACGTAGATGTTCGCCTCAAGAACCGTAGGAGCAATGGTGATCATCTTTTCTTATCAGTTAGCCTAGTGCGTGAAACAACTATACAGGTGTTATTGACTCGAGATGAATGTGCTATATTTGCGCAAAACCAAGATGAGCTAACGACGGCAAACCTGCAGGTTTGGACATATCGTAACTACAGATAATACTTATTCTTTTCAGACATCCCTATAAATGAATCCGGTGTGTCTCCAGCATCTCCGGAGTGATGAGATAGTATAGCAGGAAAACCTAACCTACTGTATTAATAATAGACCATCGTTTAACTTAAATAGGGCCTGAGAGTTAAACACTCCTCTATTGAAAGCGACTACGGCTTTGGGTGGGCCGGAATACCTGACGAAAACGAATTATCACCTGGCCGTTAGAATCAAGAGAATGAAGCAAAATCATTGATGCTCTCAGTCCATGTCTACGGCAGCGGAACATGAACCTTTAGATGGTAATATGTTTTATTTTATCTATCTTCTCTGAACATGTTGGTGGGAGGGAGTGTTCAGCGTCCTGGTGCTCACATGTACTGTACGCAAGGGATAAACTGCGTACCGTTGTTTTAAGGTCCTGAATAGCTTGGCTGTTTTCGCCGAATGGAAAAGAATGGAATATATAAACCCCTAATGTATGTCTGACCAAGTGTAGGAAAGAGACGCATACAAGCAAAGTAGTGCAACCTGGTCATGCTCAAAGAGAGTTTTTCAAAAAGCAACATTAATGGGATACATAGGAAACAAATTGTAGGGACGGCCGTAGCATTTCGAAGCCGTAATACTGTTTTTGCTTAGACAAACGGAACAGGATAATCACAATAAGGGTAGACTTCTACAAGATAATATGGTCCGCATGATGCTTATATACAACAGAGCGGGACGGATACCACCTCGTCACTATCCACACAGAGGAGTTGTAGCTGTAGCCACGTGTGCTTTAAAGTGGCGCCTCTAGTAATTCCTCAAAGTAGTCACAAGGCACCTGCACTGAAAAGACGTTGGGTAACTTAAATGAGTGGGTATCCATGCAGATGAAGACGTTAGATCCAAGTTCGTTCATCTGCCGAAGACGATACCCTAGCCGATGTGGCGCATGCGATGTGTTGTCCATTTTATTCGAGTTCCAGTGAGCATTTGTTGTGGTGTACTTGACATCTGTTTAGCCGACATATTCAGTCAGTGCGGATTGCATATATGTGTGCATGGGCTACCTCCTAGTACATTAAAATCACCTTTAATACCGGTTCAAAGGAATTGTAATTGCGTTTCTGTGGAAGATGGGCTGCACAGTTTCGTGACGACGTTTGACACTAAACGTGATTCCACTAAGGCAACGACCAAGCATCCTGCCTGCGTACGTCTGGAACTTATTTCTCCCGAATCTGCCATTAGTGATGTGCACGTTAAAGAGGTGTTAGAGGACTCCGAATCAGTCCGAATCAGTGGCGTGTGAATGTGGCTGCGGATGGTGTTGTGCGAATCACCTATTGAGCTTGTGTAATGGATGTCTCTTGCATGCGCTGGCGCCCACAGTGGCAAGCGGACCCAGATACAGGCGGTGCCAACAACTACACGTTGAAAAAGGTATTGTTCAACAGGCTCAACAACCCAATTTCTCACAAGATAACTCTTACTCTGTGAACCTGGATAGTGACTGAAAACACTCAAATGTATGGACAGACCTCTAGCTTTGGTTATCAAAGGTGGAGGTTTGCGTAACTACGGTGCTTCACTTTTCAAAGAAATGCAACAAATATATCCCTCGGGTAACACAAGCTCCCACATAGCTTCGCGATCCGGCGTGTTTTCGTTTAGGTTCCGCTTTAGTCAAGCGGTGGAGAAGAACTTATGGAACTGGTGAGCTTTGGCCCAAATTTCTGCTGGGCATCTATGTCTCGACTATCGGTTAGGAGCATCGATTTCGGTGATGATTTCAGTGGACCTAATAGTATTTCTGGCATTGCGCTCAACTTAACTATGCACCTAACACTCCAACCGATATGGCAGACTACCACTTGCGGAATGCCTTTGTCACAGATGCTGAAGTGCCAATAGATAAGGTGATTCATAAACCTCATTTTTGACTCTAACTCCCCCATAACAAGATGTATGGCGAAGCGGCTGCATATCGCTTCTGATTAGTTTATACGCATCAGTAGATCTCGACACTAAGCACGATTTGTTTTCAGAAAATGACTCACTTGGCAATCCTCTGGCGATTAAAGTACCCCGAACTTTGATCGTCAACCCCGGACCCAAAAGAACGTGGACGCCCGGATCAATACGGAGCGTTGCATCAGGGGGTATGAGCAGGTCCCCGTCTTCGATAACGAATGGAGAGTCTACCAGCTGCCAGTGCTGAACACCATACACTATCGGTTTGACTTTGGTGAGTGCGCGGACAAAGGACAAGTAGTAGTATGTGAAGATCAACAATCTCCAGAGGGTCGGTACACATGGGCGTGGTTTCGTCTTGTGCATAGAACTCGATTGATATCTTTTGTAACCAATCGCGCTTTGCTTGTAAGTGTAGTACACCTACAAAAGCACAGAACTTGAACCACATATTCCAGGCATTTTAAAAAATAAGGACAATCAAACCTTTACCATGCTGCTCAACAGGATGTTTGCAGCTAAATTACCTTGACCGTTAAGTGCCACCGGCCTGTACTATGATATCTTCTTCAGAAAGTACCTCCAAGTTGCACTATAGATCGGGGTATGCTAGTAAGAAAGTGATGGTAACGGAATAAAAGTTGCTTTTATGTAGCTCAGGTAGACATACCACACTGTCAGTTTGTCAATAGGTTTTGTACAACAAGCTGTGTACATTTTTCGCCTTTATAATGCACCAATACATGTTATCGCTGAGTCAGCATTACATAAACCCACGTCTCGTGCTTACCTGAGATGTGAAGGTGCGTAGGTTTAGTGAAGAAAGCGAAAAGTACGCTGCTCTTCTACAGAGGAAATCAACAGGAAAAAACCAGCGTATTTCAATGAAACGTGGTATACCTGAGGTTCTTTGTAACCTCGAGAACTACGAATCTTATTCTAATTGGGGTGCAATTAACCCTCTGGTTTTAACGGATTTCGATGTACTGTAAATTGACGGTAGTTTAAAATGTATGCTCCAAAAAACAGCTCAGGTCAGAGAGAGGAAAGAGATAAAATTGGACAAAAATATTCACGAAAAAAGCAATCATTTACTTGGTTGAGGTTTCATTTTACGGTATTAACTTTGACAACTTTCTCCCAGGCCACTTTGACTACGACTCTGGATGACAGAATTATATTAACTAGAATGAAAGAGGACAGATGTAACTCTACTTTTGAAACTAACTGAACAATTTAGTGAGCGTTCGGTTTGATCTCCAAAGCACTCCGTGTGTTCATTTGGAAGCAAAGGTTGAGGGCGCACCGTGGGTACAGTTAATTCGGTGTTTTATCAACAGATTACAGCTTACAACGAACAAAGATACAATGTGTCATCATATCCTTCTACACATTTTTCGATTTCACTTTGACCTAAAGTGAACTTAACGCTTAGATGGACCCCATTGTTCTCATAAATCACAGAAGCGACTCACTCCATATGAGGTAACTTAGAGTGACATAGGCACGTTATCAAAATGATAATTGGTGTCCATTATTGTCCAGTTATCAGCAGCGCATTTGATATTTCTAATGGTGGGATCAGGTGCCAGGCACTGAGGTGGTGCCAAAGGCTTCTATGGTGGCCCTTTATTTGCCTTGGTTCTCTCCAGCACATAGATGTGAAACCGCAATCCCAAGTCACCCTTTGTGTGCTTGGCTATGCAGTGACAAGCGGAGTGTAGATGTACGAAATTTACATTATGCAGCGACATTCATCGAAAGACGTTAAGCTCAACACATGGAATAGAGCAAAACCTCTCATGCTTTTTATCCGTTCAAGGATATCTTATCCTATGTTCATTCAAACCAGACGAACAATCATGTTGTTGTAGACTAAAATAGATAAGCATCAACTTCATGAATCAAGTCAAGTCACGTATGTGTTCTATACACCTACGAAGGATGAATATTCAGTTACAATGAAGTAGATGAATATTGGGTGTTGCGTGCGAGAAAACACTGCAATCCATTCGTTCCAATCACTGTTACTTCAGTAAAAGTAAAGAGAACCGATGTTTTTCCCAAAGTTAACCTTACGTCATGTGACGTTTTATTTGCTTAAGTGCAATCCTTAGATGCAGGTGACTGGAACCAGATATCATAAGCGAGACCGAACCAGTAATGAGTGACATTGTTAGAGGGAAAAGTGCTTGAACGCAGCGTCAGAGCCGCGAATGAGCAAGAGTGAATCATGGTCCGAAATGGCACCACAATCTGTAATCCGCATACAGGGAGGACACCGTGAAGCACAACAACGATTTCTTAACTGCAGAGGAACTATGTGGCCCAGCATACAAAGCTCAACTCGTCAACAACTTGGTGTCGAGGCGCACTTCCGGCAGCGATCAGTTCCAGTTTAATGGTCTAAACAAGGAAGTACAGTGTTAATAGAGTTTTATTACGAAAATACCAGCATTTCGGATGTATATCTGCTGTTTGGAAAGACTGTGTTCACCTCCAAAGTAAATCATGTACGGCAATCAAGACAAACTTAAAGTACACCGAAATACGGTGACTCTACCTCTTATTCGCTAATCGCCATGGTTTTGCTTGGCTTTATGTCCATCCAAAAGAGTGTTGATACTACTAACTACTACCACTACTACTAACTACTACTACTACTACTACTACTACTACTACTACTACCACTGCTACGAAACGCAACAGTTACATCCTAACCGCCATGCCATGCTTTAATCGCGCAGCTTGGTAGAGCGTTATTGAGAGTGCCAGAAAACAATCCCTACCTCACGGGTACTGCAAACGTTTTGACTGTTCAATCATGTCATTTTTTCCTTCCCCACTTGTGAGTTCCTGCCAAACCCTTTTGTTTAAGCAACTCTACTACTTGCATACAAACTTCCTTCGTCCCAAGCCCTATTCGTTGCCCCTCAATACGTGCGCAAATTCGTACGTACGTTAGACCTTCATCCACTGATATTAGCCCAGCTTGAAATTGGGTCCTGACACGCACTCATGCCTTCGTGTGTTTGCGCGCAGCGAATTACCGCTAAGACGCATTCCCACGTGTAATATAGACTAATGCTAGTATCGATCATTTTGCTTTAAATCGTCAGGTTTGATGTGTGACTGTTACGTTGCGGTGGACTGATGCATCGATTTGCATCGTTTACTGACCATTTTCAGTTTAAGAACAGATTTGCTGTACATATTTTTGTCTGAACATTGTTGAGGTCGCTATTTAAATTGTTGCTCTAATCCTTGTTAAGGTAGCACCGTAGATCATTCCCAGCTTTGACCTTTGAATTGACCGAGTTTGTACGAGTTGACGGAATCCAAGGCAGAAGTACCGGTTACAACGGGGTTGCATTTTAGACCCACCGTCTGTAATTAAAAAGTTCGGATAAAATTGAACCCGAAATGAGTAGCGCCAGCAAAATCTGTAATTTTAATGTGGCCCTGGGGATTGGGACGACTATGGATCACTCTATAGTAAGTCCTGCTGTAACCTGGTACTATGTGTTGAAATTCCCACATACACCAAGCACTTAGAATACAAACTAGGGAAATCAGTTTTAGTAACACAATATCAAGAATACACGCCAAGTCGGTGCAATCCTTTCAAGCCCAACAGATATTGTTGCAGGTATTAGACATTAGTGACTGTAATATTCACGACTATGTATCGAACGATATGCACACCAAAAGTCTTATCATCCTGAAAGGTCAGTATTCCGTTGCACATAGTCTTCCATTCCTCACCCTATGCTGACTTGGCTCAGCCTATCTACCTCCCAAAAGGATGAGTCTAAATCATACCTAAATTCGTAGGCAGAAAATTAGAGATGGTGTCTTTGACCAGTCCTTCTTTCAATTTCTTAGTACGAAAATCTAAGACACATTTCAATCATTTGATCCAAATTTGGCGTCATTTCAGGAGTGGACGCATCTGTTTCTATGGTTGCTTTGTTATCCAACTGGGCTTATTAGTAGCCGAGCAGTGCTACGCATGGATATAGAAACGTGGATAGTCGGTGACCCACGGGCCTGTGCATTAATACATACCAGGTGAAAATTTAAGCATACGGTATTCAACACAAGCGGACCAGGTCCGACAGTTAGTATTGCTGACGCAATCCACTTATTCCATTCCTTTCTGTTCTAGAAGATGTATGGAAACCATAATCAAGTTCAGCTCTGAAGACACATTGTGATTTGTCTTGCCCCCTTCATTGCTTCATCTCGATGACTCCAGTTTCAATGTTGGGAACGTACACCGGAGAGATAGAAATAATGGTGCTGCCTGAAGTAGATTTACATTGCTTGCAGTCATTTTGAACATAGCGCTTAAGCTGGATTTTACAACGAAGGCGTGTGGCATAACTCGTAACTAATTATGTTAATCAAACCACGTATGCTGGTTGCATTCCTTGGAAGCACTGCACTCTTCTTTGAAAGACATGTTGGCGGTTGGTACCTCGGGTGAACTAAATTGACACTAGATTAATATAGAGGAAAGCAGCGAGACGCCTTATACACGAGCTAGCCACAGACGAACGAGCAATATGGGCTTGATATAATTCTTTCGGTTTGGAACAAACAGAGTGCTGGCAGACAAAGGTGAACCGGATTGGCCAGGACAAGAGTGAGCGAATAGGACACGCGGACAACGTACTTAGACTGACGGCGCGACGTTCTGGAGGCGACTAGTTGAGCAAGAGAGCGAAGCTGTCACCAAACAAGTATCATGTGCGCTGGCGGTCTGGAATTCCGCGGGTCAGATGTGCAAAACAGAATTAACATGGCCTAAGATGATCCAAACTCAACGTGGGCCCAGATAGAGCAGGTGTGGACTGAATCGACCACTGGGTACTGAATACTGAATTTAGAGAGCGACGCGATATAAATCTGTGTTGTTCCATCGTGGTTAGATCAGGTATTTTCGCGGAATCACGTCGATGTCTCTGCGCGGTGGCAGCATATTACAGCTGCACTACACCTTAACCGGGTGCGATACCCTCCCTATACCTGTAATCCGCAAAGTGAGCTACGAGGACTCTTAAATTTCCACACCGATTTCGCCTCGACAATTGTCTGTGGCAACGGTACGTGCGCGTCAACGGGCATAGACAGACGATTTGGGAGGCAACAAAGGGAAATAGCCAGCAGAGCACTGTTGCACCGATGAATCACTTATTTATATGCGGTATAAATGATCTAACGGTTCACAAATAAGACAATCTGCTACCTTGACCTGTTTTCGAGTTTTAGTTGGGTACTATAAGCAATATTTTATTAGGTATTCACGAAATAATACCATTATACACGGAGTTTTTTGAGTTACCATCTTATGTAGCCGATTTTTGGGTTCTGATGCCAGGTCTATGTCTATCTGAGGAGTCTAAAGAAGGATCAGTCACG